AAAGGGATCAGAAGATCAACTCGAGGGCTGCTTGTCCCGTCTTTCCAAACTTCATCCTTTCTCAAAATTCTCTTAGTCTCTCCCTCCCTCCCTTCCTCCCTCCCCTCCCCTCCCTTGCTTCTACCTCCCTCACTCCCTCCCTCCCTCCCTCCCTTCCCTCCCTCCCTCCCTCCCTCGCTCGCTCACTCTCTCCCTCCCTCCCAAACCTACAGGATCCGCGCATTCCCTTGGAGACTCCCAACTCACTCCTTTTTATATAGCGGTTTAAAATGTTCATTTATATATTTCAAAAGACTTCTTATCTCGACGTATCATAACAAACAGTGCTATTTTTGTAACTTACAGTAGTCTCTCTATATACTAGTTTTATCTTCATCGCAACTTTGGGTGCGGCTCCATCCCTTAGTACCCCCACCCCCATTTCTAAGCTTCAAAGTACCCCTTCTCGATGGAATAACCCCCTTGCATGTTTTTTTCACTCATCAATGATCGACTCAGCCGAGGTGGACCCGGTTTACTCAAGGTGTGACTTGAAGTCACTGAAGCGGCCCGGGCCCGGTCGGCCGGGCCCCGGGCCCCTCGGGGCGGCGGCCGCGCCCGCACTCGCACCAACGTAACTGCCTGACAGTTACATCCGTTAACGGATCCGAGGAGAGGGAGAGGCTGCTATGGCGGGAAGGCGCTTCTTTCTGAGAAGGAGACGGGAGGGAGGGAGGAGGGAGGAGGTAGAAGAGAGGATAGTGGAGACGCATGACGATGCTGGACTAGGAAGGTGCCGATGTGGTCCCGCACATAGCCAGGGGATGACATGGCTGTTGCTTTTCACCGGGTGGGTGGATAGCGGGGAGGGGGTGATAAAGCAATCACGGGATGGAGTGGGGTGCTGGTCGAATGGTGTGCTTGCTCTGCAGGAGTGGAGTGCGATAAATGAGCTGATTGTGAGGCTGATCTTTGAGATGAGAAGAAATCGAGGACAAATTCAACTGAACCGTTGTGACGACGTTGATTTGGATGGTAGATTGAGTTGGATCAAGGTTTGGAGGATGACGCGGGATGATCATGTCTGAAGAGGTAGCTCTAGCCTCGTTGAGTTGTAAATGTTGGAGAGCTAGTCCACCAAGAACTTAGACATTGTTGAGAAACTCTGTAGGTGAATGTTGTTTTAAGCATGAGGGGCCGGTGGGGTATTAAGAGTACTAGCATCTGGATTTGTGTAGTTGCCTCTGTATTGTATCTACATCCAGTGCACAGCGGTGCATATTCAGATGTTTATCCAAGAACTGCACGCATGCACATGTTTCTGCTTGACCATGTTCTTGCAGACTCCTTGCCGACTTGCGCTCTTTCGGTTCTTGTTCAGCAAACTTGGATGCAGCCTGCCGGCCCTCCTTTTGTCGTGATTGTTTGAAACCAGCACAAGTTTCCATCTCCTCATTGTTGCTCTCTCCGTGCCCTCATGAGTCGATTCAAGTTTCCCTTGTGCTGCTTCGTCCCCCTCCTCCTGTCAGCGGTTGCCCTTGGCCATGCAGTCTTGGGGGGAGGACCTTTCAGTGCAGCCCCCAGAAGCGGTGAGATCATGGCTGGGGGCAAGTTCGGTAGCCTTGCTCGTCCTCTCAAGCTACGTGCGAGACGGGTCTTGATCGCAGAGGAGCCACGTTCAAGGGCTGGGAATCTTTTCTTGCGAGGAGGGGAGAATGAGGAGGAGGCGAAGGAAGGTGATCGGGGAACTGACGCTGAGGATGACAAGACGAGCAAGAGAGAATATGCTGATGCTGATCGGCACCAACAAGACGAGGACAAGAAGAACGATGCGAACGAGGCTAAGGCATCTGCCACCTCCCCCGACGATCAGTCTGCCACTCCGAAGCGCCGAGGTCGCCCAGGGAGAGGAAGGGGAGGTGGAACTCCGAGAGGCTCTGGAACGCGTGGAAGAGGACGTGGAGGGGCAGCCAGTGCGGGCTCGACTCGCTCCAGCTCAGCCGGTACCACAGGTCAACGTTCGGCCTCGACGGGATCGAAAGCTGCAGGGCAGGACAAGGCTGAGGGTTCCCAGGAGCCACCTGGTCATGGGCCGGGTACCGGGCCTCAAGGCGATGCAGGAGGAGACAAGGGAGGCGAGGGGAAGCAGGAGCAAGAGGTAGGAGAGCTGATTTCTCCACTTGTCCTCTCTTACGGCTGCACCAGAAGCAGGCGGCGGAGAAACAAGGACAGGTCACCAACGATCAGCAGCAGGTCTCAGCTACTTGTTCGGAGTGGCTGTATCTGACGCTATTCCACAGCACCCTCCCGCCCCTCCCGCCCCACCCGCAGCTGCTGACTCGTATCCGGCCCATCTCCCGCACGACACTGCCTCCCAACACCATGTGGGGCACAACGAGGAGGTGAAGATGCCGGGGGACGGTCAGTTCGACGCACAGCACATGCAGATGCCTCAGGATGTTCACGACAGAGTTCCGACGCACGAGAACGTGATCCCCGGTGTTGACATCCCCGACGACCTGCAGATGCAGCACTCCCTGCAGAACATGTACCAGTGGGAGGCCCCCGACGGCAACCAGTTCATCCTCGACCCAATGGCAGCCGGCTCCTACGATGGTATGCGGCCAGGGTCAGGGATTGACGGAGCCTCAATCTGGCCTACAGTAGGAGGAAGGATGGGCGAGATGCTCTACGCGCTTGGGGGATACGATGGTGGAGGGCAGCTTGCGACGGTGGAAAGCTACGACATTCAGACGGGGCTGTGGAGGACGGAGTCCCCCATGTTGTCCAAGAGAGGCGCCCTGGCAGCCGTAGTGCTCGATGGCCGGATCTTTGCTATCGGAGGAAACGATGGCAGGAGGGATCTGGCGACTGTGGAGTCTTTCGACGCCGGGACCGCAACATGGCGTTCAGAGGTTCCGATGCCCTCGAAGAGAAGAGCTCTCACCGCATGTGTACTGCACGGCCGCATGTTTGCGCTGGGAGGGTACGACGGGTCGAGCTGGCTCAACACGGTCGAGTGCTACGATCCTCGGCTGGGCGAGTGGAGGAGCGAAGCCCCGATGCCGTCCAAGAGGAGCGGACTAGCGTGTGTGGTGTATGGCAACCGCATCTACGCCATCGGAGGATACGACGGACGGAACTTCCTCAACGCTCTGGAGAGCTACGACCCGAGCACGGGAGAGTGGAGGATTGAGACGCAGATGCCGACGAAGAGGAGCGGGCTGGCTGCAGTTGTGCTGCAAGACAAGATCTACTGCCTCGGAGGATACGACGGTCGCTCCTTCCTGTCCACTGTCGAATGTTTCGACCCTAGGACAGGAGAGTGGCAGGTCGAGTCGCCGATGCCATCAAGCAGAAGCGCTTTTGCTGCTTGTGTGGTGGCTGGCAGGCTCTTCACTGTGGGAGGAAACGATGGGAGGTGAGACCAAAAATAGGAGGAGGGGGGGAAGGGGAGGGGGAGAGGAGGAGGTGGATGGTCATTATGATGTATCTTGTGGTTGGACGGAGGAGGAGAGGCTGACATGGCTGTCTTAGGTCGATGTCTATCGTCGAGAGTTACGACTTGCTCTCTGGGGTGTGGAGATCCGATATGCAGATGCCGTCCAAAAGATGCTATCTCTCTGCTGTCATCATCTGATATCCCTCCCCATGATCGTCACCATTGCCGTCGATGTTCGACCCCCTTCGATCTCTTTCTTCCTTGTTTCTCACTTGCATCCTAGGTGAGAGCTGAGACTTTGCGGATATCTAAGAGTTGCTTCATAGTTTGCATTTCATCATATCTAGAAGAGAACCAATGTATATACTTAATAAATGTCTTCTTCACTCCTTGCCCCTCCTCCTTTTCCCTCCCGCTCCTGTTCCTTTCCATCCTCCAGCGCCCGTCAGTCTCGTCGTAGAAACCATCCTGTCAGACTCCTTCGCTGCTTCTTGCTCAGAAGCACCTCGTGCGGGAACCACTCGCTGAGGAACAACACAAGAGTCCCTCCTACCGGCACCACCTCCATCGCCTCCTCCAGCTCGCTCAAGTCGAACTGGCCGCTCTCAGCCGCTAGCAGCCCCGATCAGATAGGTGACTGGAGGGAGGGAGGGAGAAAGTGATCAAGGGGGGGGAGTGAGGGAGGGAGCGAGGGAGGGAGCGAGGGAGGGAGCGAGGG